TCCACACCTGCCAGGGGAGGTGGATGTTCAGGTCTCCTGCCACTGAAAACAGAGGCCCCCGGGAGCACCCCCCCTGCACTCCCTGGCGAGGTGCACACAAGCCCCTGTCTACAGACTGCTCATACACAGACACACTTCCAGGGTCAGGGGACGTGTGAAGTGACTCGCCCTGACACGCCCCGTCACACAGGTCCCTCATCCACACCTTGGAACACCCAGCCACACACACTCCTGCTCATGCCTCTGTGCTGCTCACGTGCACACACACCCTCAGTGCTCTTGCGCCCTTCATGCCGGAATGCTTATGAGAGAGACACCTGCAGGGCGCCAGCTTCACACACGTGCCCAGTCATAGCCCCTCGGGGACTCCTGCACCCCACACGCCCCAGTGCCAGTGGCTCCTGACCCCCTAGGGAACCCACACAATGCTGACTGTGCCCAGGCCCTGCTGTGTCTGTGGAGACACTGTCCTGAGCCTACAAAGGGATGGGCCCGTGGGAACTGGCCTTCCCGGGCCTGGGGACAGGGCTGGCGCTGGAGCACGGCCCCTGTAGGGCTGCTGTCCCGGGTCATAGACATCCAGGTTGGAGGCCACCGGCAGGAGGGCCTGCTCCACAGACAGAAGAGCACCAGGGTTGGGTTTGAAAACCCTCCCATGCAGGCCTGTGCATCAGCCCCAGCCACGCGCTCCTTGCAGGGCCTGGGTCCCGGCCCTTCTGTCCAGCGTTCGCCCCAGGCCAGCAGGATGGGGTCACATCTCACAGATGCCCTGTGGGCCAGCTGCAGGGAGGGGGCTCCGTCCTCCTGGCCCCTTGTCCCGTCTCCTCTGGGCAATCAGACAACACCCCGTGCCGGGGGCCGACAGGGTCCTCATGGGCAAAGCTGGCTGATGTGCTTGTCTTGGAGGAGGGCCCCAGCCCCAGCAGTCGTGCTCCCCTCCAGGGCCACATCACCTTTGGGGGCAGATGGCTCAGGGCCCCACGAGGTGCTGCCTGGATGGTGTGGGAGAGGGAGGTGTGGAGCAGACCCAGGCCTCACCGCTTCCTCTGGGGCTTTGTTCCCACCCCGTCCGGGCAAGGTGTCAGGCCAGTGGCCTTTCATCCCAGCCCTCTGGCCCTGCACCCGGCGCCATTTGTTAGGGTGGCCCTGGGGGCGGTCACGGTGGATGAGCCAGCCTGGGGAGGCCTCAGGACAGCAAGTGTGGACTGTAGGGGGAGGTGGCACTTGGCAGGGACCAAATGGGCAAAAAAGCACCCTGGGAACAGGGATGCTGGTGTCCTGAAGTTGAGACCCTCCAGGGCTCCCACTACCCTGACCGGAGCATCCGAGACGCTGGCCGTGTGTAGATGTGCTCAGGGAGGTGCCGGAAACCATTCTCAGTGCCGCGTTGGCTTTTCCCACCAGGCGGTGGGACGAAGTGCTGTTTCTTTTCTTCTGCTTTTTTATGCTTCGCTCTTGTTCCAATTTGCTCTAAATGAGCAAGAAATAGCCCATTACTCTAGAACATGCCACAGCTTCTGAGCCCAGCCCCCACCCGCCCTGCCTGTGGGTCAGAAATCCCCAAACTTGGCCTTCCAGGGCCTGGGCTCCAGAATGACTCCCCCCTCCCCCACTGGGGGTGGGGGCTGCAGGGGTCTGGCAGGGCCCCCGCTTGGAGCCTGGACTGCACTTACCGTCAGGCAGGAGTGAGGTTTCTACAACCCTGCCCCTTGCTCAGAAGGAGGGCACCCAAGTGGCCTGGGCCCACTTCCCAGCTGGAGCCTAAAACTCTCAGCGGTGCCTAGTGCCTACCGAGCTGGGGAAGCAGGGTGGTGTGAACTCCCCAGGCAGCCAGCCTGTGGTGCGGAGCTCAGGTCATGGACCTGGCTGCTGGCTGGGCAGGAGGCCCCACTCACGTCCTTCTTAGGGCGGGGGTCCCTTCTCTGGGCTCCCAGCCTAGGCAGGCCCTATACCCTTAGGAACACGTGTTCTCTCTCATACCCCATGCCCGGGTGAGTCCCAGGTATGGCTTCTATCCGGCCCTCCTCTCCCCCTCACACCCCCCCCCATTTGCTGAGGCCTGGGGCTCAAGGCTGATGGGGGCCCAAGGGTGTTTACGAACAACCAACAGGGCTGTGCTGTCCTGGGCCCAGGGAGGGCTGGTCGCCTCTGGAGAGGAACGTGTACAAGGGCCCCTCCGAGCTGCCTGCTGGCCCTGCCCAGCCCGTTCTGTGGCCCTGGCTGGGGCGTGCCCCTCTGCACTCTACACCTGTGTGCCAGCTGTCCGCTGGTTGTGCACAGCAGACACCTGCAGGCGTGCTGACCAGGGTTGTGTGTGTGGGGGTGGCCCTGCACCCAGGGCAGGTGGGAACACAGACGTTTCCAGGGACGCAGACTTCAGGACAGTTGCTGTGACCTTGCCTGTTGCACAGGTCTTGGTTCTGCTGGCCACGACCACTCCTTGGGTGAGTGTGACTGCGAATCCTGGGTTCAGACCTGAGAGGAGGCCCCGCCCTTGGGCATGGCCCCTCAAAGCCCCCCAGCTCCCCCCTGCCAAGTCTTAGCCTCAGTGGAACGGGCAGGTGTCCCAAGTGCCTGCTATAGCCTCTCGTCACACCCCCAAGAAGCCCAGAAAACAGAGCCTCCTGGAGAAGTGGCCAAAGCAGGCCTCTCCTGCCCTCCCCAGGCCCCAGGGAGGGGCAAGGGGCTGCAGAGGGTGGACCAAAAGGTCAAGTCTGCCTAACTCCCGGTCTGTGGGCCCCAGCAGTCCCGATGACCAGTCACTGCTGGCAGCCCAGCCCCTGGGAGGCAACCTCCCCCTTGTGGGCTCAGGTCTCTGGCCGAGACAGTCCCCAGGCGGACAGAGTGCCCTGAGACACGGCAAGTGGGTGTTGGCTCCAAGCAGCTGTAAGAGCTGTGGGGACCGGGCACGCAGGTGGACTCCTGGCACCAGGAAGCCACGAGCCTTCCCAGCCCCTCCAGCCCCCGACTCACCTGGCCCTGCCCGCCCAGCCAGGCTCTGGGGCTGGAGGCCCTCCCCGCCCTCAGAATCCCAGACTGAATGGGGGTACACAGAGACCAGGCTGGACTCTCAAGACCATACACCCAGCCCCTGTCCAGGGCCTTCCCCGGGACCCCCGCTGCAGTCTGTCCAGGCCCACTGGCATCCCAGGGCTCGGGTTTGTGTGTCCCCCAAGGGAGAGTAGGCATGGCCCAGACACCACCTGCACATACCCCCTCTCCTAAGGGTCAGCGTGAGGACCCTGGTGTGGGGTCCTCGCTAGCCAAGGGCCCTGTAAGCAAGTTACTCAGCCCCTCAGAAGCCCCCTTTCTTCATAATGAAAGGCAATGTCTCCCCCCTTTGGTGTCAGGAAGGGTGCTGGGCCATGGGCCCCAAAGAGCAGGGCCTCAGCCTTGTGTGAGGCAGGTGGACCTTGCAGGGGACGGGGACAGGAGACACAGGGAGCCGCTAGGTGCTGGTCCTTCCTGCAGATGGGGAGCACAGGGCAGAGAGGGGGTGAGCATGTAGAACCGGCTTTTCCAGCCGGGGGTGGGGGTGGGACAGGGCCTCCCAGGGCCCTATGGGGTGACGGCAGGGCCCAGCAGTGGGCAGCAGCCGTGGGAAAAGCAGCACCGGTGGTTCCCGAGGGTGGGGCCAGGTCCTTGTGGATGGCACCGGTGGTTTGTCTTCGTGCCGTGACTCAGCGTGAGCTGGCAGTCCCGCCCAGGTGTGTGCATCAGGCCCAGGTCCTGGGAAGGCTCCCACCCCCTCCCACTAATGCAGCATCCCTCTCACACCTACAGGCTCCGTCCCCTGGGGGGGCCTGGGTAGGGGGGGGGAGGAGGGCGAAAGCGGTTCTCTGTGGTGGGCAGCCCAGGGCAGCGACCACCCTTTCCCCAGCTGGATCTGGAGTGACCACAGGCTAGACCTGCGGCCGGGGCTCCACCTGCACTCCTGCCCAGGAAGGTCCCTGGGTCTGTGACCGGGAGGCCAGGGCCCACGGCAGACTCCCCATGCCAGAGAGGTGGCCAGGGGACAGGAGGCACCCCCCCCAGAGAGGCAGGAGGAAGGGTCCTGCCGGCACCAGCCCTGCCGCAGCCCCACCCAGGCCTCCCCGAAGAGGTGGCCCCACCCTCCGGCGCCCCCAGGCCCTGGCTCTGATGCTGGATGCAGTACAGCAAGCTCATGGTGTCGAAAGGCCCATGGGAAAAGGGCGTGTGGGGGCAGGGGGCACCGCCCCTGACGTGGGCACACCCTGAGGCTCCAGCGGCTGGTGGCTGCCACCTACCCACCCACCCCTGGGAGCTGTGTCATTCAGGGCACTGGTCAGGCTCCTCCAGGAGGGGCCCGGGAGTGATCCCATGAGCCCAGATCATGGACCCCTCCTCCCTGTGGCCCCAGAAGGCCCCCTCCCACCCTCAGGCCCTGCTCTAGGCTCATCCTCCTCTTACAGGCCGCTCTGATTTGGGGAAGGGCTGTGACTGGCTGTGCCGAGCTGAGTGCCTTCCAAGAGCCATTGCACGTCCTAGACAAGGACCCCAAATAGAAGCAAAAGTGGCTTCCCTCCTGATCCCTTGTAGATGTGGTGCCCCGGGGGCGGGGGGGGGCGGGGTCAGGCAACAGGCATCATCGAGAAACACGGACACTGAAACGGCCTGGCTGAGGGGCCCGCTGCAAGCCTCTTACCCTGACCCTTTGATGCTGAGCTAGCCCAGGGATGCCCAGGCCTGGTTGTGCCCTCGAGGCTCTGTGATTGGGGCGGACAGCCCAGGTGATGACAGAGGCCCACAGGGTCTCATGAGCCAGAAGAGGCTGCCTAGGGCCCACTAGGATCCAGTGCCGTGCTGGAGGGCTCCCAGGAGGAGGTGTGCCCTGTCCTGCAAGGAGAGGAAGGGATGTGTGCTTTTGTCTCTGTGAAACCCCCTAGCCAGACCCAGAGCTGCAAGGAGCCTGAGGCTGGGGGTGGGAGGTGGGAGGTGGGCAGAGCCTCACCCGGCCTCAGCACCCCCTCTGTCCCCAGGCCTGTAACTGTGACCAGTACCTGAAGGTCTCCAAGGACATGATGAAGCAGCTGGTGAGGCTCAGCAGCCGCCCGGAAGGCCCCAGCATCACAGGTATGTTGCCCCATGGGGTTAGGCGTGGGCTCTGTGGGCTCTGTGGACAGTGGCCCAGTTGTGGGGTTAAACTGCAGGGATGACCAGGGAGGTGCCGGCCAGGGGCCGGTGGAAAGACAGAGCTCACGCTGCGCAAAGGTTACAGGCCCAGGAGGCCAGGAAGCTGAGACACTCGGGGCCCCTCTGGGGTGGGGTCCCCCCCCCCCTCTCCGGTCACCCTGCCCTTCACACAGAGTGCACACGCACACAGGCACGTGTGCCGGCACGCACCTGTTTGTACACACTTGTGCACACATGTGCACGTGCACAGATGCACATTTGCTTGCACACTGGCACCTGCTAAGCAATCTGAAGGCGGACGATCCCGGACAGACAGAAAGGAGGGCAAACCCCAGATGTCAACCCCCTCAACCGTGGACCCAGCCTCAGTTTCCACCCTTGTAAAACTAGAAACTGGAAGGAGACTTTGAAGTCGCTGGCTGGGGCAGTGAGTGTGCCCTTCCATTCCTATCACCGGCTCCCCCACCCTCTAGAGAGAGGGGCACCAGAGGGAGCCTCGCAGCTCCTCCCCAGGCTCCCGGCTGCTCCTCAGCGGAGGGCAAGGATGGGATGGATAGGAGACTGTCTTAGTGCTCTCTCCAGGGGGGTCAGCCTGAGGTTAGGGTGCCTCTGAGATCCCTTTGCACGGCTCGCCGTGGCTCTCCCGGACGGTGACGTCCCCACGAGGGTGTTCTTGTTCTTCCGAAACCCCCTGAGGTTTGGGGCTGGAGCTCCTCAGGTGAGCCATAGTGATGGCCTGTGTCCAGCCCCCAGCAGCTCTCAGCTCTCCACAGTGTGGCCTTGACATGTTCAAGGCCCAGGAAGGGAGGAGCAGGGTACGAGCACTGCCCTCTGCTAGAGCCGCCCCGCCACTGGGCTCCCGGCTCCTCTGAGCCACCAGCGCTCTGCCCAGAGGCCCACGCCTGTCCTGAGGTGGTGGGTGGCCCTCCTGCGGGCCTGCTGGCATCTCATGGGCCTCCAGGTAAAGGCTGAGGCCAGACCGACTAGGGCGCGATAGGGAGACCAGATGGAGGTCATGGCCTCATTGCGTTGCGGGGCGGGGGGGGCCCGGGAGTGCTCATCCATTCAGGCTCTGGCTAAAGTTAATCTGGAGCCATCTGTGGAGAGATGTTTGCCAAGCAAATTAGGGGTAGGACTCTTCCGCCTGCCGGCCAGGACTCCTCACCCATCACTGCCCTCACGCCTGCACTGGCCCCTCAGCAGCCCGAGGCCTGGCCACCTCCCTGGAGTCTCCTGTGCTCTTAGCGGAGGTAGGGACCCTCTTGCAGAGTCAGAGGTTGCCCTGAGCTCCAGCAGGTCCCCTGGGCCGTGCTGCTATGAAACGCAGGCCCTGGCAATGGCTTATCTTCTCATCGCCACGAATGGGATGCCCCCGCCCCCACCGGCCCTTTCTCAGGCCCCCAGTGCCCTAATCGGCCAATCTCACGCCCAGAACTTGTTTCCCAAGGACCTTTGAGCCCCAAGAACATTCCAAGGTGTGAGTTCCCATGGGAGGGGATCAGGCTGGCACCAAAGCTCCTCAGCCCCCTACCCTTTGCCCTTTCTGCTAAGGGTGGGGGGAGAGGCTGGGCACTTGGAGGTGCATTGTGGGCACTGGGGCTGCCAGGACCCACCCTTAGGACAGTCCCTGATGTCCTCAATTGATTGCCAGGTGATGAGGCCACCCAGAGCGAGGACATACAGGAAGCAGGTGAGCCCTGGGACCACCCACTGACAGGGTTTGTTCCTGGCCCAGGAGAGGGGACTGCCCTGAGAGGATGGGCCCGTGCCCTAGGCGAGGGGTAGCGGGCAGGGCCAGTGGGGAGAGAGGGCCAGGGGTCCGTGGGTAAGATGAGGCAGAGCGTTGGGGGGACCAGGCAGTGTAGGGCAGAGGCACCGGAAAGAACAGGGTGGAGGCGAGACCATCCCCGCAGCCCCTCCCACCCCACCCCACCCCACCCCACCATAAGGCTGAGAGCTCAGAGTGGCCGCCCACCCCCCACCTTTCCAGGCTCGGCCCCAGAGGAGGCCCCCGGGGGCTGTACCTACGACCCACCTTGCCGCTGGCTGGAGGCCGCAGACCTGCGGGCTGGTGGGCCTGCCACACTGGCCAGTGGCACCCGGCTGCAGCTGGCAGGGGTCCCGGAGGGCGTGCTGCGGCGGCCGGGGCTACGTCATTTCTACTGCTGCTCTGGCTGTGGCAAGGTCTTCTGGGAGGGCTCCCACCTGTGCCGCGTCACCTCGCAATTCAGCCAGATCCTGAGCAGCGCCTCCAGCTCCTGGAAGCAGAGCTGAGCCCCCAGGCCCACGGGCCTGCACTGCCCCCTGGGGCATCCACCCACCCACCCCCAGCAATACAGGTAATAAAAGTCCTGACCTGCGCGGGCCTGTGGCCATGGGCTCACTGCACACACCTGGGCCTGGCCCTAGGTGCACCTGTGGCCGTGGACTCATTGCATACACCTGGGCGCCAGCCCCAGGTGCAGAGCTAGGACCGGGGTGGAAGGGATGAAAGTTCGTGCACAAGGTCAGGATGCTCGGACCCCGAGCTGAGAACCGCCTGATACTCGGGAATGAGGCCGACGGAAAATGGGAAGGACACGCCTGGCAGAGGAAATGGCCTTCACAAAGGCCTGGGGCTGGGACCCAAGCGGCTCCCGTCAGCGGGGCTCAGTGGGGCGGAGGGAGGCGGGGGCACACAGGCCCCCCACGCACTGGGGGCCCACTCCCTTTGCTGCGTTGGTAAATGCCACCCCCCTCTGCCCCACCTTCCTGGGCTCCTCAGACCTTCGGGGAGGCCTCCAGTTCCAGGGAGTGTAGATGGTGGGACCCCGCAGGGCCAGGGCCCTTTAGGCCAGATGTGGCGGGGGTGGGGGTGGGGGGCTTCCTGGGGAACAGGGCCCAGCCCTCTGTGGTGCAAGAGGCAGGGCGGCCACCCTCTAGGAGGGCATCCATTGTGTCTGGAGGGCCATGCCTGGAGGGGAGGCCCACCTCTGCATCTGCTGCCCTCGCCCCCTCACCGGCCAGAGTGTGACCCCACATGGCTTCTTCCCCCCGCCCCAACCCGGTCGAGGTGGCCTCCTCTCATGAAACAGAGTGGCAGCCGAAGCCACAAGGGGGCCCTGCACATGAGAGCGTCCACCCTCACAACTGCAGGAAACCGCCACTGCTCCACCTACTCTCTGGGAAACTGAGGCGCAGGCGCCCGTTGCCGGCACCCGAGGGCCCCGGGCACCGGTGCCAGGTGGGCGGGGAGAGGGGCCTAGACTGCATCTTGCCCTGGCCGCCTCCTCCTGGCTCACTCCCTAGGAATGTGCCCCCCCCCCCCCCCCCCCCCACATCCCTTTCCTGTCCTTCCTGCCTTGAGCGGAAACCAGCTCAGATTTGGCCCGGGAACCCAGGCGGAAGCCTCAGGGCCGGGGAGCCCGGGGGGGGGGGGGGGGGGGGGGGGG